GGACTAAAGTCAGTTGTAAAATATTTTTGTTGAATGGAATGCTGAACTTCTGAAGGAGCCCGGAGCTGCTGGTCTGAGAAGGGGATCCAGAGACAATGAGGAACAGTTCAGGAGCTCACAGGGGGTCACAAAAATACCATCTGTCTGTCACAGTAGTCTGTTCTTGCTCAAGGAAAAGGAATGTTTGAGGAAAACAATGTTTTGTTTCTATTCTCTGGTACTTAGGAGTTCCTTGGACTTGACTTTGGATTTCATTGTTCTTCATTGAATGCAATTTTGACCAGTGTGGAATCAATCCTGCATCCATTTAGTTTAACATTTTCCTTTCTTCTAGAGGATGCTTATCTGTCTGTGCTGTATCTGACTACAACCCCGGTCCCCATCCTCTCCACCCCCCACTACTGCTTGGCTCTCTAGTAAACCTTTCTAAATGACTGTCTTCTGATAAAGCAGCTTTAACAAAGGGCTATCTTGCACTCCTGTAGTTTTCCTATTGTTACAAAATTCTCTATTCTTTGGCCGGGTCCTAGGAAATTCAGAACTCACCATGTGTGGATGAAGAAAGACTCCAGACAAAGACCTTGTCTGTGTTTACAGACAGGAGCTAGAGCATTTTAGCAAATCTGAGATCTGATGAGAGGGTTACTTACACCCCTGCTACAGTGTATCCCTTAGGCTTCACTAACCCCAGGAAGTGGAGTAACTGTTACTTATTCTACAAAAAAGTGGCCCAGCCAATGTCACTTCTACACATACACACAGACACACACATGCATGCACACACACATGCACATGCATGCACACACACATGCGCATGCACACACACACACACACAGATGAGCACACACATGCACACCAAAAACAGAAGAAGGACCTAAGCCATGGTTCTGGGTCTTACTGATACTCACTGCTCACTCACTGCTCATTTAAAAAAAAAAAGTCATTTTGGTTTTCTTCCATTTAGCACTTTTACTGGGCAATCTGTGGCTTAGTTGGGTAACAAATATCTAGATGTGTGAGGGGAATCTAAGCCCTTACTTATCCCGACTTTATCAGGCTACCCCATAGGATGAAAGCACAGAAAAGTAACTTAATGAATTTTTAGTTCAGCCATATTCCTTCCTGCTTCTCTGGCACAGAAGTAATCCTCTCTCTTCTGTATTACAATCAAGGCAGTGCCCTTTTCTTTGCCTTCTACTTCCAGCCTGATGTGCACAGTGTGACTTGGGGGTTTCGAGACTTAGATGTGTCATCTCGACTATGTCCTTGGGTGGAGGATCTGTGGTATTCACTCTCATTTCCCCAGCTATGGAATGTCCCATCAAGCCAGCACCTTCTGTCCTGCCACAGTGTACTTGAGTCTCTCCCTCTGTAGCCAGCAGTAAGTCCTGTCTTGAAGTCAAAGACATTAGTAATTATAGCATAAAGGGGTATAAGAGGAGAACCAATGGTGCATATTAGAGTGATACAAAAATACTTGGAAAAGGAGATACAAGTCCAAGACCAACTGCCACCATGTTATGCTGCTAACTTCAAAATCATATTGTGTCATCTGTTTTGATGTCTGGAGCATGGCTATTTCTTAAACCATATTACCATTCCTTCATGGGATATTATTATTTCATCACCAAAGTTTCTGCATAAAGGGAGAAACCAGGCCAGAGAAGAGGAAACGAGACAGAAGATAGGCGACCTGGTAACCTCCCCTCTGTGTCCTCTTAAGTGAGGACACAGAAATGTGGCAGAGAATGTGAGCTGCCTCTGAACTACTCAGGGACAGAGCAGAACTGTGCTTACAGAGAGTTGTCTGTTCAACTGCTTGGATGCAGGAGAGGACTTATTTTAGCCATCAGCTCGTAGATCTTTGAGATTATGACCATTTTCATTGAAAAGCAGCTGAGAAAATACATGCTAACTATTCCCAGTGGCTACTGGACTCAAGCTGCATTTTCATTCTTTAATGATTAGGGATTGGACTTTTGTGAGAAGGGGATATTGAGCCTTCTTTCTTTCTCCGTAGAGGTGTTGTGAGGATTTCTGCATGTGTGGTAATGGCATTCAGTAGTCTCTTTGGAATTTCCCAGTAGAAAAAAAAAGGTGTTATAAAAATTCAAAATAAAAAAGTGCTACCAATAATAAAGATGTTGATCTTGAAATGTTATATGAAAACCAGAGACTGGAAATTTAAATTTTGTAACGGCATGCACTAAAGCTGAGATCTCTTCGGACCCTGGGACTTCAGCAGGGGTGGGCCCGGGGAAGACTTGGATGGAAGATGCCTCAGGATGTGGTGGTGGTGAGTCAGTGGATGGCCCTCTTCCATCCCAAGGTGGTCCTGGGCCAATTCCCAACCTGGAGCTACAGAGCACACTGCTACAAGAGAACCATCTATTGGATGGGATACAAGACCGGGCTTCTGACCACTGTGCTCATTAAAAATTCCAGGGCAGTTTTATAAGGTTAAGGGTATATCCTTGTGCTCAACAATCTGGTTCTAGTTGAGTGTCAATATTAGCTTTTTGTTAAAAGCTAGGAAAGGACAATATGGATTTTGTAGGAAGCTGACTTACATTTCTATGGGAGAAAATTTAGAGGTATGGACTTAAATTTTGATCTTGATCTCATTTATGAACTAGCAAAATAAAACACCTGTTTGAGCGACTTAAAAAATAGCTAGGATATGAGTGTATTTGTACATATATATCTAAAAACCCCTCTCACAAAAATCACTGTAGAGTGAGGATGAACTGAACAACCCTTCTAGTGTTAATGCATGACAATGAAATAAATTATACTTTGAAGGTCTCTTTTGGGCTTTCATTCAGTTATTTGTACAACCTATATTTGAGATGAGACATGGAATAGGATATGTGGTGTATGACAACAATAATTTCAAGTTAGAATAATCAGAAGTATTCTCTATCTACTCTTTCTAGAATTATTAGGTGAACCTGTAAGTTTGCCTATAATATTAACTATACAGCAATGACCAAATCAGTAATTTAATATTATTTCTTTATAGTAATGAACTAAAAGTTTTCATTGATGGATCATTATGAAAGCAGAGGGAGAGAAACACACACAGAGACAGCTACACAGTGAGACAAGAGGCCGAGAGACAGAAACTGAGAGAAACAAGGATAGAGAGATAGAAACAGAGATAGAGAAACAGAGACATAGAGAGACAAAAAGGAGACAGATAGGAGACAGACAGACACCCACACACCCACGCACACACAGAGTGCCAATATAAAGTCTAAGAAATAAAACCCTTACATTCTTAGATCCACCAATGGGTCACTTGTTTTTCTTTCTTCCACATCTCACCTGCTCTTCTTACTAAACTTCAAACACCCTATTTCTAGATTTGGGGCTAAAAGAAATCCTTGCACCTAAACGTTGTGTGCAATTTGCCATCTCTGTGGAAAGTTACTGTGGTTCTGTGGTTCGGAAGAGTGAAAGGCATGCTTCATAGTTTCAGGCAAGACCAGTTCTGGATGAGCTAAGAGGTTCTCTGTCCTACCACCCTGAGTGGGTGGGGCTCTGATTGAGGACCCCCGAGAATGCTGACCTTCTTCTCTCTGTCTCTGTCTCTCTCTGTCTGTATGTGTGTGTTAAATATTCAAGGATAAATATTTGTTAATTTATAGACATGGATTGTATTTTTTAATAGTGTGTAGAGGTGACTCTTTTTTAAATGCCATATTTTTAACACTTTTCCTCTGCTCTTATAACAGTTATTATGTATCATGTTAAAGTCAATTACACATCTCACAGCATAGTCATGGCAGATATTTCCTCTTTGAAGCTGATATTTAGACACTGGCAAAATTTTTGGAGACACTAACAATAAACAACCCTAGATCCTGGGAGATTGAATTCAGCTCTAAACACAATGCATCTTTAAGTATGGGGTGCAGGATGTTCACCAAGTCACAGCCTCTTCAGATTCAAAGATGCAACATGTGTGTGATAGGGACTTAAGAAACCTGAGGCTGGGCTGGCTCAGGCTTGCCTTACATGAAGCACTTAAAACTCCCGTGTATATTTATCCAACCAGGACACCTTTGTCTGTATTCCCAGGCTCTTATATTTCACCATGAACTTGGTTAATACCTCATGTTTGAAAGAAAGGAATAAAATCACTTTTAAATACTTTCAAGCATTGCTTTTAAGGAGAAACTTCTGTACAATATAAAATATATTAAAATATGCTTTTAAACATCTAAGACAGTAGGGATGCAGCTCCATAGATAGGACTGTTGATTCTTATTTCATAAAACAAATTTAGAAAGCTATCTATATAATTAATAACAACATGGATACTCCTGGATACTACACAGATATAGTTTACAGCTCCTTTAGTATAAATGTAACCATGGTAAATGAAAACACACAGATATATGTTTAATTTCTTTTTCTACTTTTAACCTTACAGGTCCTTTGCATATATATCATGGCTTTCAGTTTAGTGTTTTTATGGGATTCTCGAGTGTGCAAATGAGTGGGTCTCTGTGTCTGTATCTGTTTCTTGTGCCTTTTCTTGGGCCCCTTTCCTTCTGTTCATTTGCTTTGTCTTATTCTATGTTAGTTTCTTTGTTTTACCTTATTATATTAATTATCCCCTATAATCATGTTTTTTAAAGAATGAGAAGTAGAAAGGGGGTGGCTCCAGATAATAGGGAATGTGGGCAGGAAAGAGATGGGAAACAGTAATCAGGATTACATTATATGAGAAAAAGGTCTATTTTCAGTAAAAAGAAAACCAAAGAGAAAGAGGCAGCAGAAAAAAAGTGAAAAAGAAAACAGTAGTTATTTGTTTTGCATTAGCAAAATTGGACTGGAGCTGCCAGAGTCATGCTGACTGACAAGCAGAAAAGGGGTGGCATGGGAAAGGAACAATAAACATAGTGTCCAGAAAACCAATAAGGTTCCATGTTGTAGTAGGGCCTCTTGTTTGTTCCCGGCTGCTCAGCCCCAAAATAACCACACAGAAAGTATATTATTTAAAACACTGCTTGGACCATTAGCTATAGCTTCTTATTTTCTAACTTTTATATATTAATTTAACCCATTTCTGTTAATCTGTGCATCAGTGTGTCTGTCTCCGGTAGGGCTCCATAACTCCTCCCTGACTCCACCCTTCTTTTTCCCTGCCTAGCTAAGTTCTGCCTTGCTAAAGGTCCAAAGCAGTTTCTTTATTATTCAATGGTAATTACAGCATACAGAGGGAAATCCCACATCACCTCCCTTTTCTGTTTAAATAAAAAGGAAGGTTTTAACTTTAACATAGTAAAATTACATGTAACAAAACAGGTATCAAGCAAGAATTACAGTTACAATATTTATATCTACTTTATCTTTTATTATAACTAAGGAAAACTCTAATAATAACATCTATTCTTCAACTCCAACAAAGACACCAGAAGGATACAATATTACCTAAGTAAGCAGGAAGTGCATTGTAAGCAACTTCCAAAACTTTAAAATTGACAGAGACATATCACTGCTGGGACAGTCACCCAAAGTTCTTCTGTACCATTTGGGGCATCGTCTTTAGGCTAAAGGCCCATAGTATCCAGCAGACTTTTCCATGAAGCAGGAAATTACAAAGACAGTTTTGCTTATTTTGGCAGCTTGTCAGTCACTTTCTTCTGTGTCCTGCAGAATGCCTGACAGACACTTTCATGAAGCAGGAACCCCGACGGATCATCTCACCTTAAGGCAAGTTCAGAGATCCATTTCTCTGTGGATCCTGCATCTCCAGTTCACACAGCATAATATCAAGCAGTTCAGTCAAGAGCAGTTTCTTACCCAAATGGCTAACCAACTCCATAAGGAGCCTCTTCGGTGTTCATCTTCCTCTTGAAGTAGTTGGTGCTGCCAGGAGTAGATGTGTCTCATTGTCATGAAAAGTCCTAGCATCTTAAAACATTTTAAATTCCATATTCTGAAGGTCTCTGAAAAATTTGAAGAATACCTATCTATCTGAAATATATCTCTATATATCCAGAAATTCTAACTAACAAGATTACAAGCTTGACTATTATAGATGATTATCTATTAATCTATATTTCTTAATTATACATTACATTTTTAAGTGAGCTGTACAAACACAATCAAGAGCAGAAATATACATATAACACAATTGACCTTAAATTTGTATCAATAAACCAAGATACATATCAATGCAAATCTCTATAGCATATCCCCTTTAAATGTAAAGAAATATTTGCAAACAGTATTTGAGAAAATGGACATAGTTCTCTCCAAACTGCTTCCTGCTGACTGTGGGCACTGCTAATCAGGTCTTTTATGGTGTATCCTATGTGTTAGGTTCATCTCAGTCAGAAGATGGGCAAAGTTGTTTTTTGGGGGGTGTTCACAGTGATTTTTCAGGGGGTTTTGGTGCATCAATACACATTAGCCTGGAATGAATCCTCTGTGGAAACAAAAGAAGAACCTCTTTTCCAAAGCAACATATCCTTAGACTCAAATTTTAAAGTCAAGATACCTTTATGTTGGTTTAGCTTAGCAGCCTGTACAATGAAATGTCTCTCTGTACTTAGGTTCTTTATAGTCAAAAAATTCAAAGAAGCATCAATACTATACATAATCCAGACTCTCTGTGTATTTTCCATCTTTATGTGGCTTATTTGTTTTTACTCTATTACTTCTTACTATTTATTATCTTTACTCCTTTGATCTATGACTGGCTGTATTCTGTCTCTTCAAAGACTTTACCTTTTTTTTTCTAAACCACTTACTTCTTTTTATAACGATCTATATATTTTTTCTTTTCTCTCTTATGCATACATACATTTATCCAATACTGTGACTCATTTAGAGGTCTTTTATGTCTGAATTTGTCTCTATTGTATATTTATAATTATTTTCTGCCCAGGACTGCTTCTTAAAATGCTAAGCCCTTCCTATGAACTTAAGCAGCACCATTGCTAAGGAAAGTACAGCACTGCTTTCTTACTCTGTCCCGTCCAACGTGGTGGAGGAGGTTTGTTCACTGCCTCTGAGACATGCACACCGCCCCAGTTCTGAGTATGCAGGGGGTCTATGATGAACCATTAAACAGTTTGTAACAGGCTGTTTACAAACCCTATTTAAATGCTCAGCCTCCTGAAAGAGTCAGAAGTCACGCTGGCAGCAAGGCCCAGAAAGCCATCATTTCAAAGCCAAATGGCTTTCTTCCTGCTATCGCTGAATCCAGAAAACATATTTTAAAGGAGCCATGCCTCTGCTTGCTTCTAGCAAACAGAGCCCACCCAAGAAAATGTCGCTACCAAACCATGCTTAACTCTGTTCTTTTGTGTCTATGATTCCTTTTTAAGTTTTCTCAGGTTTTAAGTGGATTTTAGTTGGTAACATTGGCACCAATTTGTTGTTGGAGAAAGAGCTGGTTGTTTGTTCCCAGCTGCTCAGCCCCAAAATAATCACACAGAAACTATATTGTTTAAAACACTGCTTGGCCTATTAGCTCTAGCTTCTTATTGGCTAACTCTTACATATTAATTTAACCCATCTCCATGAATCTGTGCACCACCACGAGGTCATGGCCTACCAGCAAAGCTTCAGTTCTGCCTTGCTATAGGGCCAAAGCAATGTCTTTATTAATCAATGGTAATCACAGCATACAGAGGGAAATCCCTCATCAGTTCCATAGAAACTTCATGGGGGCACGCTCTTAAGTGGAATTAGGACTTTCTTCAGTCCAGATGTGAGACTACGAAGCATATTTGAGGTGAGGCTAGTTTACCTCCGAGAGAGGGAAGCTTCCTAATGTTACCAGCACTCTAGTTCCCATAAACATTTGAGGCAGATGTACTCCAAAGCACTAAGGAAAAATTGTCTTTCACTATGGTTGAGACAGCGAGACATTCACATGAAGACAAGCAGAACTAGATTGGTCATCTCACACCATCAGCAAGAGTTAACTCACTACTTGGGGGATGGCTCAGTACATAAAGTGTTTTCTGCATTTGCAGAAGGACCACACAGAAGTCAAATGTGGGGGCACATGTCTGTAACACCAGTGTGGGGTCTAGGGATGGGCGCTGTCGGTTCTTGGTGCTTCTAGGCAACCCAGACTAGCCACGAGGTGAACAGCAGAGTCAATGGAGACCTTGTCTCACAAAGTAAAGTGGGGACGGGATTGGAGAAGCCACCACGATGTCTCCCACGTGGGTGTGCAACCTGCACACACACACACACATTCACACACATCTGAAATTAAAAACTCTAAGTGAACCAAAGACCCAAGCATCAGAACTAAAAATACAAAACAATTAGGAGGAAACACGATACATTTTCATGGCCTGGATTTGGCAATGGGTTCTTATGATAATGAAGATTCATGCAAGAGAGGGAAACAATAAGTATTAAGTAGACTTTGTCAAATAGAGAAAAGAAAATGCAAGCCAAATGAGTAGAAAGGATTTTAAGCCCCTTATGCTGAGTGGTCTGTACCAAGAGTATAAAGTACCCTTATGGTATTGTGTTGGTTCAATGGGAGGGTTTTTTTCATCCATAAAAAGGATAAATATTAACATATGCTGCAATATGGAGGAATCTTGGAAGTGCACTAAGGGAAAGAAGTCAGATATGAAAGGCCAAGTATAAATATCCTAGTAATTAAATCTATAGAGTTGGAAATCAGATTAGTGATTGACAGGATCTGGGGAGGTGTGTAGTGTTTGCTAGTGTTTGTTTTAGCAGAGGTGACCCAAAGTTCGGCAAGTAATGGACTCTTGATGTTGTGACTATGTCATCAACATAATACTGTATGCTACACCGGTGTGAAGTACACAATGTATAAGTTCTATCTGTGTGTGTGTGTGTGTTTGTACATGTTTGTGTGTGTGTACGCATGCAGATGCACCAGATGGCTCACGTGGCAGTCAGAGAAATATGTGTAAATTGGTTCTCTCTTTCACTCAAGTGGCAATCAAGAATTTAATTCAGGTCTTCAGACTTGTGTAACAAGTACCTTTACTGACTGAGCTATTTTGCCAGCCCTGATTAAGGAAAGAAAAAAAAAAAGTAGGGACTTCAGAGATGGGACACATTTAGTGCTCTTGCAGAGGATCTGGGTTTGGTACTCAGCACCCACACAGAAACTCCAAACAAACTGTAACTTCAGTTCCAGAGTATCCAGTGTTCTCTTCTGGCCTCCATAGGTAACTGTATTCACCCAGTATACATAAAACATAGTGATGGGTGGATGTACACTTTAAAAGAAAGAGAAAACAAAAGTAGTGAGATTTCTCACCTTTGGGAATATTCATGCTTAAGGCCTTTGGTTAGGAGAAAGCAGAAAGTGATGCTGTACCTCTTAGATGCTAGGGCAGATATGGGTGGAGAGGCAGATGACCTCCTGTAGATGAGGAGAATATTGGGGGTCTATTATATGAGTTAATGATCAGTCTGAGAGAAAAAATCAGATTTGAGTTCTTGCATCTTTGCTGCTTTACCAGCTTAAGGGAATCTCAATTCCCCCTGTATCTTCATTTTGTTTTCTGTGAAATAAAGATGATAATAAACTTGTCATTGACATCACATCCTTCGTGAGAATTAATTAGGACTAGAAGTACAAAATTACTTTTAAGGCTGCCAAGCACAATATGGACGTTATACTGAGATGTTTATAGAATTCTGAAATATGTTCTTTTTATGAATGACTTTGGCATCTACTCTATAATTTCCTTCTAATTTTGAATATGCTCTCTCCTTAGAGTGCTGTGAAGGAAGTGATCAGTAGGAGATGGACCACTCAGAGAACATATTCAGTGTGCAAATTGTCTGTGTTCTTTCTTTCTCCCTCCCCTTCCATCCATTGCTTAATTATACACATTTCCCTGCCTTTTAGAATTTCCTTCTAAATGAGAAGTTAGTTCAAAGCAGCCATTAACTTTCAGGAACACGGAGAGAATTTACAGATCAAAGATGTCTCCATGCCCCTGATAATATATATGTTTGCATCCTACTGCCACTTGCAAAAAATAACAGTGTGACTGTCATTGGAATTCTCTCAGATGACGTAAAACTCCTTTTCAATTCAGTATTGTTGAAAGACAAAAAAGAAGGCAGTTAAAGGTAAGTTTAACCCACACGTTTGTCTAAATAAATATGTTCTAGCTGAGAAAAGGAAAACCTTTGTTAAGTTTGAACATCCTATTATGGCATAGTATAGGTGAAGAGATGTTCAAAATTAATAGACTCAAGGAGGAAGAGCGAAGACCAAGTTCTTTTAAATCAGGCCTTTGCCTGTATGTTGCTTACCTTTAGAAATGAAATAATTTTAAAATTACTTATTACTGGGTAGAAATCAGGTCAGTCAAGCTGAAATCTATCCTGATACCACCATTCACTCATACTTACACTGAAAATGTCTATTCATGGTGGGTCTGAGATTCAGCAAGAGTCTCAATTGTGAGATCCAGATTTGGTCAAATTTGTCCTGTGACTGTTACTAAGGCAGAAGAGGATGGATACAGTTTAATACATTTGTTTAAACTAGCAGTATAAACACTTTCAAAGCCCTTACCAATACTTACATGATTTACTACCTTTTTTTTATTAGTTAGGGCAATAGTAAGTCAAAAGCAAGCTGAGTTCACAAAACCAAACAATTTATCATTATTTTGGAGACTATAACAACATACATACTATTTATATTATTACACAAGAATTCAGTGCTTTGGGAATTACAATACTTGCAAGTCCAGAGGAAAGAGGTGCTAAGGATATTGGTCTTATTGCCGAGTCTGTTGAAGTTCTTTGCAGCCCTATGAGACTTGCTGTTAAAGGAAAGAAGCGTTTTGAACTGGAAGTAGGGAAGAAGAGAAGGGCCAAATGTCTAAGCTGACTTTGTCAGAAGACAATAAAGTAACAAGGTTATAGTCACTTAAAATATTATAACATGCTTCATGTTCCATGAAGTTGTTAAACCTGGGGAGCCCTGAGCCCACTGCACGTGTCTCTTTAACAAGACAATCCACAAGAACATTAGTCCACAGGTTTGGCCTGCCCAGTGGTGGGCCCTGTCATGGGATGCTTCCATTCATCATGGCTGTAGGTCTACAGTAACTCTCACATCCCTGCTTTAACTTTTGATCTTGTCCCTAGTTGCACACATAATGGCATTACTTACAATGTTTGGAATTGTAAGTAAATTGTAAGTAATGTAAGAAGAAGGACCAGTACTGCATGGAAAGCCAGTGCCAACAGTGAATCCCCAGATGCAAGCATTCTGTGTTTTCTCTCTGACTCTGGAAGTATACCAGTAAAGTCAATCTTAACAAAATGGTTATGTTTGTTAGTATAATTCTGTTCTTACAACAGTGATTAGAGACTGTGTCATAGAAAACAATGTGAAATATGACCTTTTAGTCACTTATATTTAGACATATAATTCTGAATTTCCTAGTTCATTGGCTACTTAAAGGTATATGCTTATATTTCATTCCCCACTCCTGTGCCTATAATAAAGTGACTATGGACATTTCATCAAGCATTTAATATATAAGTTTTAAAATCTCTGGCTAGTGTTTACTTTCCTAAGAGATGAGTAACTTAAGATAGCAATACATATTTTTTAAAGCAGCGCTCTGTGAAGTGCTGCTTGCATGATTTTACTTATGAGTGTACTCATCATAAAAGAATTTTCAAGGAAAGACTCAGAGACATCTGTTCATGCAAGCAATTAAGTTGGATATACATATGCATACACACACACACACACACATATATATATATATATATATGTGTGTGTGTGTGTTTATTTGTAAATATATCCAGTTGGTCTTTAATATGAAACATTATAGTGGTGGTATATTTTATTTTATTTTTCTTTCATAATTCCATTGAGTTTTTTATTCATCAAACACTTGCTTGTTGAGTATTCAATGAGTTTTGACCACAGGACATGTGCTTGTCTGGTATCTGGAAATCCAGAGCAAATGAACAATAAACAAGAGAGCAGAAAACCATTTTATAGAGAGATAATCATCAAGAATACAATAGAACAGTGTGATATTAGATATGTAAATCTGTATGCATATTGGGTACCATAAAGTCTTTTTGAAAACCTTAGAGTCATCTTTCCTGTCAACATGATTGGATTTGGGATCACCTAGGAGACTAACTCTGGTATGCTTGTGAGGATATTGCCAAGGAGGTTTTGACTGAGGAGGGAAAACCCATTCATCATGTGTGTGTGGTAGCATACCGGGGTCCCAGCCTGAATAAAAAAGGAAAAAGCTAGTTGAGCATCAGCATCCCTCTTTCCCAGCTTCATGACCACGGCCTCGACATCACCAGCTGTCGTCTCATTCTCCTGTCACCACAGCTAGGGCCACTCCACACACACTTTCTGCATCATGACAAACTGCGAGTCAAATTCCTCCTCCTCTCAGTTGCTTTTGTCAGGCACATTATTGTCACGGCTGTTGGGAACCAACATTTCCTTAAAAAAATACAAAAATCAAAAAAACAAAAAAACAAAACAAAACAAAACAACAAGAAGAAAAAACACCTGAAGCCAGGAATGATGCAGAAGAAGCCAGCATGAGACAATGTGTCACCCCCAAGGTCCCTATCACTTTAGCAGCTATGGAAGACCACAAGCATGGCTTGAAGTATGAAACACGCAGTCTTCATGACTGGACCCACAAGCCAATAAATCTATGTTTTAAATAATTAAAGCCTCTCTGCTCCTCTGTGGTAGCCGTGGGTTGAGTGTTTCACATCCCTTTGCAGTTACTGTCTAGCATGGTGAACAGCACAGAGTCCACGTTGGTGACACTGTAACAACTGGTACTGTACTAGCCAAGTGGGAATACTAGAACAAGAAGAGGTCACAGAGACAGAGCTGGAAAAAATCTTGGAGGACCTTGTAGGTTGTCCTGGGTCCTTTGGCGACTGCAGAAACCTTGCATGGTTTTAGGAGGGGATACACAATCATTTAATTTATGTATTTGAACTATCATTATGCTCAATAGAAAATGATCTGTAAAAGGAAGGCAAGGGCAGTTAGTTACTGCAACTGTCTTAGCTGGAGATAATGATGGACCTTTGTTTGGTTACTGTAAAAGGGATACGAGAGAGAGAGAGAGAGAGAGAGAGAGAGAGAGAGAGAGAGAGAGAGAGAGAGATATTCAGGTCATCTTTTAGAGATGGAAACAAGTGCTTTTGTTAACAGAGTGGAAGGGTAGCAAGCTAATCAAGAGAGAGCCGAGGGCAATGTTCCCATTGTGGATCCAGGCAGCTGGGTGGATGGCACTGTTTTTTCCAGAGATGGGAGAAAATGGAGGAGGTGGTGAGTATGTAGGTGGAAGAGTGGATTCTAAGGCGCTTCCTTTCTTAGGAACTCATTGTAAGTGCTTGTAGGTCAGGCAGGCAGTAGAGAATAAATGAAGCCATACTTAGGAGTGAAGACTTAAAAAAAAATACCAAAATATTACAGGCGAGTCCTCTTAAGTGAAGCTATAGTTGACAAAGTGCAAAGGATTTTTACAAAGAACTAATCAAACCACACTGACTGGACTTGGCCAAGTGAAGGGTATTCTCCACCTAGACAGGACAGGGCATTTTCTTCTATTTTCTATGTGTGGACAACCTTTGTTGCTTGTGTGTTCCTGACTCAGGACTGATTGCTACCTGTTTCACATCTGTTTACACATAGCTGTTTCACATCTGTCTTACACATCTTGGCCTTTCACTTAGCAAACTGTACTGCTACTTGTTGGTTGCCATTCTCCTGTCTATCCCTGAAGCTCCGTCTCTCACAAAAGCATCTGGATGATTTCATCACCTTCCTTGAGTTTCTGGATGGCAATGGGCAGAAAAATGGACCCTCTTTCCTTTCAGTGGAACAGCTAACTTTCTGATTGTGACTTTTGTTAAAAATAGGGAGAAAGTCAGGTGCCAGGGCATTGTTTCTTTTTATATTATTGATCAGCTCTAAGATGCCATAAACAGAGACCTAGTGATGTTTTGCTACTATTAGAAAATGGCAAGTGTTTTATTGTGATACTTTCTTATTATTACTAATTATTGCCATTTGAAAAGGAGACTCATGTGTGCCCATTCGTCTGTCAAGTGCATTTGTGGCCATCAGAGACAACTTGGTGGAGTTGGGTCTTTATTTCCATTTTTATGTAGCTCCTGGGATTTAGCTCTAGTCATTGGGGCTCAGCACAGCAAGTGGGTTTACCCATTGAGATCTCACCAGTTCATGTACGGCAGCTTCTAAACAATGTCCACTGTCAGTCTTGTAAGAGTTCTGTTTTGATGATCACATGCCATTATTTTTCCTGAAAAACCTGTGATGCATGCGGAGGTAGAAGACAGAGAAAATGGAAATACTCTTTCATCCCCTACTCAGATTTTTTTCTTTCTAAATTTAACAACATAAGCCCAGTGTTGTGATTTGATGTGCACTCCCCATGTCAAGAGGCAGCCTTTTTTTTTTTTTTTTTTTTTTTTTTTTTTTTTTTTACTTTCAAGCATTCCAGGAAGGCTCTGGCATATGAATCATGGATAAGATGGAAACTTAAGGAAGTGTGTGTGCATGCTAGGGGGCTCATTTGTCTTTGGCAAAGGCATCACTACTCCTGTTTTCTTTAACAGACAGATGGTATTGTTGTTACTGACAGGCTGCCCAACGCATGCTCCTGGCCAGTGGCACAGTTCTGGACATGTGACAGAGAGGAGCTGGCTGGCAGGTCGCACCCCTCCTGTTCATTTATGCCTAATGTTTTGTGAGTGCCCAGCTGGGACTGCAGTAGGCTGCTTCTCATAAAAAGAAATGTACAACCTAAGCTACGTTTTCCCACTGCCCCCATGAATCCATTTTATTTCATCTGTCTCCTCTTGGCATATTTTATTGCTTCATCTCTACACACAAAACACAGTGGCATTTTGAACTAATTATACAAGTACTCCAGGCTATAAACACACTGTAACCTGGAGCAGCAAGATAATTGAGACAAAATCAGTTTATTATTATTTGTGAGAGCCAAATGACACCTAGGCAACCTGAGCAAGAGTGGACTTTTTTTTTTTTAAATCCAGAACACAGCAGCATCATTTTGAATCTGCTGAACAAACTGGTAATTTTTTTTTATAAACTGCCAAAAAAGTTAACATTTTTTCCCCACATACTGTGGCCTATGACCACGTAATCACTGATAAGCAAAGGGTTTTGCTCATTGTGGGTGTGTTTGACTAGCGGGACTTTCTAGTTCTGCAATCATTCTTAATTTCTTAATCAGCAAATGGTGTAATTTTACCACACACAGTCAACAACTGCTGACTTATGATACTTTTGCACTGGAGCTGGGGGATATGCTTTTGCTTTTCTTTTCAAGACTGCATTGTAGCCCAGGCTGGCTTCTACATCAGAGCATTCTTCCTGTCTCCAGCACTCATGATCTTGGGGTTGCATGTGCCACCAACTTCCAGATGGATTTTTGAAATTACTTATTTTTTTTAAGTTTTATGTGAATGAGCACATGTGAATGGAGGAGGCTGTGGAGTCGAGAAGAGGGCAGAGAATGCCCTGGAGCTGGAGTTAAATACAGTGGTTCTGAGCCACCTGATGTGGGCGCTGGGAACTCCTCCTTGGGTTCTCTGAAAGAGCAGAAGATGCTCGTAATTGCTTCTTCATCTCTCCATTCCCTAATCTTTTTGTTTGTTTGTTTAACCCTTTCTCTCTCTGTTTTCTGTCAGTATCTTTTTTTCTTAAATGGCTTTGTGCACTACCTAACTCTGAGACTGTTCCAATTGGAAGAACAAGACAGGCATGCTGGGGCCCTCAGGATGGCTCAGTGGCAGCAGGTAATGTTTGCCACCAAGTCTAAAGACCCCAGAATATCTGAAAAAAAAAAAAAAAAGGTTCGGTCCTTCAGACCCTGGAAAGGAGGTGACTCCCATAAATCTTCCTGTAATCTCACATACACACTCACACTGGCATACAAAATAATCAAAATGTAACTTTGAAAGATGGGGCGTGGCTTCTCCACTGCGAACCGACCTTCCACTGGAGCAGCACCAGAATGAAAAAGCCATCGAAATGGGTTCCAGCTATCCTCAGGATCTTCGCCTGTTAAATCACTCATACAGAAGTGTCATTTTTCTATGACAGAATCAAGCATGCTGGCTTTCACCCCTCAGGGCCAGCCGCCAGCCACAGACCCCAGCACCGGCCTGTCACCCCCCCCCTTTAACTGGGAGGGACCATCTCTAGGAAAGGGGTGGTCCCTCCCAGAACTGCGCCCCTGGATCCTGAGCCCGCTCACCTACGGAGTTGCCTTAAGAGCCAGCAAGAGGAATTGTGGGATCTTTGAGAGTTTTAAGCACTAGTCTCTGCTCTTTTTTCCTCAGCAAAAACATCAGCCACCGTGCATCAAAAAGAAAGAAAAAATGGCTTTTAAAGAAACTAAGCTAACAGCCTCCCTTTCCTCCTCCCCCATCCCCCTCCATACCAGCTCCTGCTCTCCCTCCATCCTTGCTGCTGCAGCGGCTCACAGACTGGTTCTTTCCAGTGGAACTTGGTAACTTCGACACTACGTCTCAGCTTCCTTTTCTATTTTCTTTTCTTTGCCCCCCCCCCCTACTCTTTGCCATGAACCGGACACAGAAAGGCTGGGAGGCTCCGCTTCCTACCTCTGTGAAACGAAGTCTGTGTCCTGTGGCAGCAAGGGGGAAGATCGGCCAAGTAGAGCGGGGGAGAGATAAAGGGGGAGGAGAGGAAGAGATAGAAAGGGGAAAGCGGGAGGGGGAGAAAGAGGAGGAGGAGAGGGAGAGAGAGAGAGGGGGAGGGGAGAGATAGGGTGGAGGAGAGGATAGAGGAAAGAGGAAGGGGAGAGAGAGGTGGAGAGAGAGAGAGAGAGAGAGAGAGAGAGAGAGAGAGAGAGAGAGAGAGAGAGAGAGAGAGAGAGAGAGAGAGAGAGAGAGAGNGAGAGAGAGAGAGAGAGAGAGAGAGAGAGAGAGAGAGAGATTGCTGTAGGGAGAAAAGGGATGACGGGGAAAGGGGTGGTCGGCCGCGATCAGCCCGGGAATGGTCAGAGAATCAGCGGTCCCTGAGCAACATTTGTGTTGGGCAAGTGTTAAAATCCCGAAGTAGAAAGAGACCCCATAGGGTATAAACTTGGGCTGAGGGTGGAGCGAAGGATTTCTGAGAGAGAAAGGAAGAGAGAGGGTGGGGGGAGATCCAAGGCTGATCCTGCTAGATGCCAACTTGAAGAAGTCTTCAGCTCGCACTCCTGAGTTCTCTGCAACGCTGAAACTTCGCGGAGATCGGGGAGAAGGGACGCAGAGTGTACGATCTAAAAGGGCGCGGGCGCACCGGTGGGACGCAAGGGGGTTGCGTGCAGAGCTCACAGCATGGCAGTGCCGGGCGAGGCCGCCCAAGACCGGGCCAAGCAGGGCCTCGGAAGGGCGAGTCCCGCCCAGGTGTCCAGCTGGGACCACCACCGTCGGGGTGCGTCCCCTCCATCTCTGTGGAGCTCGGACTGCCGAGGTTGTTGGGGAGTCCAGGCGCTGCAACCACTCCGGCGCTCGCCGCAACTCTCCTCGGCGTTGTGCGCGGGCTCCCTGTCCGTGCTGCTGGCTCTGCTAGTGAGGCTGGTCAGCGGGGAGGTTGGAGGCAAGCTGGAGTCGAGTCAGGAGGCGGCGGCCGAGGAGGAGGAGGAGGAAGGAGCCCGAGGGGGCGTCTTCCCGGGCCCTCGGGGAGGTGCTCCCGGGGGCGGCGCGCAGCTCAACCCTTGGCTGCAGGCGGCCGCGCTGCTCTTCAGTCTCCTGTGCGCCTTCTTCTGGATGGGCTTGTGCCTGCTGCGCGCCGGGGTGCGCCTGCCTCTGGCCGTCGCGCTGTTGGCCGCCTGCTGTGCTGGGGAAGCGCTGGTGCAGCTCTCTCTGGGCGTGGGGGACGGTCGCCTGCTGTCACTGCCTGCCGCGGGGGTCCTGCTCAGCTGCCTGGGTGGCGCGACATGGCTGGTGCTGAGACTGAGGCTGGGCGTCCTCATGGTCGCCTTGACTAGCGCGCTCCGGACGGTGGCCCTGGTTTCCCTGGAGAGGTTCAAGGTCGCCTGGAGACCTTACCTGGCTTACTTGGCGGCGGTGTTGGGGTTGCTGCTGGCCAGGTACGCCGAGCAGATCCTGCCACAGTGCTCCGGGCCGGCTCCGCCCAGGGAGCGGTTTAGGTCCCAGCTGAGCGCGAGGACCAAGGAAGAGATTCCGGGGTGGAAGAGGAGGAGGCGGTCCAGCTCCGTGGTGGCCGGCGAGATGTCTGGCTGCAGCGGCAAGTCGCACCGGAGGACCTCCCTGCCCTGCATACCCAGGGAGCAGGTAAGCTGGGGCGCGGCGCCTTTGGGGGTGCTCCACGAAAACTTGAAACAGTGCAGGGAGTGGAGTGCAGGCGATGGGGAAGTCAGCCTGACAAACAGTACAACTTTACACTCACTAAGAAAGTAGTTTTTTTTTTTCTCTCTCTCTCCCCAGTTCTCTATCTAGTGGGGGTAGTTTGCAACCAGAGCAACAGAAAACAGTAAAAAGTAACAAAATTAAGTGGCTAAGTGGCAGTGCGCGGGCTTCCGCAGCTGGGGCATGTTTTCAATCTCCTACACCTGGCTTGTGAGTGCCTGCCCTTGGTGAAGTATTTCTACCCTCCCTAAATTTTTGGAATTAGCTCACTTATTTAATTATTTATTAGAAGTAAGTGTCTTTCAACACTGTATTTCCTTTATTTCTGGGTCTTTTGTAAAATAACAAAATTTATTCCTTATCAAGTGCTAGGTAAACATTTATAAAAGTAGGTAGAAGAGTTTCAGTAGCCAGGGAAGGCATCCTTGACGGTGAGGCGCTTCTCTTTTGCAGTGACTTTGGAGAGGCCGCATCTGATGGCCGCCAGCATGGGTCTGTACTATAGTTGTTAGGCACGAGTGTGTGTTGAACTCTGAACTTAGGCTTAACACCCGAGGGCTATGTGTGAACTTTAGAATGGTGTAGAACTGGCAGCTATGCTTTTATTGTTCACTCAGAAAAGTAACCTTTCTCATGCGCGTTTATCAGCCTAAGTGGAGAGAAATTCAAATGACTTCCTTAGGGATTGCAGGAAACATTAATCCAGACTTTCTAAGATTGCTGTTGATAACGTATCTTTGAGGAAGGAGGAGATGGGGGAGTTGAATTCGGAGTGAAGTTGTGTGTACCAGTTCTTTGGGGGGAGTGGGCAGGAGGTTGCAAATGTCTTTGGTATCACAGAATAGCAACCCTGCGTGGTATAGGAGAACCGTTTACAATTTTATTCACAAGTTGTACCTGAGTTTTTTTTTTTTTTTTTTTTTTTTTTTTTTTTTTTTTTTTTTTTTTTTTTTTTTTTTTTTTTTTTTTTTTTTTTTTTTTTTTTTGACTCAGTTCTCTTCACCAGGTCTGACACTTGCTGTAGGGGATTGAGAAAGCTGATTCTGCACTCTAAATGGAAATTTACACTTTTCCTATTTAAATTCATGCCTACCCATGATCCTATTAGGATACTTTCAGGGTGGAAGGTTGTTCCTAGGATAATAGTAAGCCTTTTCTTTTTTGGTTATTCTAGGGATAATTGGTTAGGTGTCCCTTAGAAACATCAGTCACCATATGGTGTGAGTGGCTGGTTTGTTTCTGAGATGGAGTTGATTACCCAGATGGGTGGCTCTTTGACTTTATGTAGCAGACTGGATGACAGCATTCCATGCTTGTGCTTTAAAACAAATGTACTTATTTAACTTTTTGTTTAGCGGAGACAAATATTTCTTGGTTTAAAGAGCAAAGAGAAGAGCATAGGCCACTGGTTGATGCTTAGTTGTGTAGATATTTGGTGATCGTTAGAATAAAGTATAAGTACAGATGGGTGCAGAAGAGAAAACTTTCTGAATGAAAGCATGATTATCAAAAAGACATCGACAATACACTTCTCTTGAACTTACAGGGAAATGTGATGTGATCTTTGCCAACATTGAAGCCTAATTTACAGGAAAAATCTGGATTGAATCAGAAGTAATTTGACTCCATATTAATGCCACTTAGCCCTCAGAATTAAATTTCTGACATTTCCGATTAAGGGAGCTCAGAGTGGATTTGAGATCAGAAGGCCTTCAGGTGAACGGAGCAACTTTGCTGATGATCATAGATTTGTATAGGTTTTCTCTGCTTCCCATTGGTAAACGAAGGACTGTAATGATCTCGTAAAGGTCTACTGAGCTTGATTTTTTTCAAAGGTTTTATTGATTAGTTGCATGAATCATCTATCCTGATTATTTTCTTTGGCGATTATTTTTGTTGAAGGAGTGTTGATGAAGGATGACCTAAAGCAAGAAACTCTCACTTAAGGTGATAGGGAGCTGTGGTTGCATGCAGCAACAACCCAGACCCTTGAGGTTTTAGTGAGGGCATGGGTGAAAGTGTGCTCACTGAAGGCTGGTTTTCATATATGACCCATCAAAGCTGTTGCTGAACATAATTGTGGGGAATGGGTGTGGCTGACATGGGATAGTATCTTATGAGATAGGGTGAGGTGGCAGCTCATACGTTGGCCAAACTCTGTGAAAAGGTTAGGAGCCATATAGTAAATGGCTTATCTTTTTTATCACGAGGAAGCAAACTTCTGATTAAGAGGGCAAAGGGTGTCATGATCATTTGCATACTTGACGAAGTCCAGAGTGAAAATAATTGTAAAACGAACATCTACCACTCCCCGAGTGCTGTCTGGTTAGTTCTTTTCTGAATAAGGCAGATCTTATAGGCAACCAGTAAGTTTCCAATAGTACAGAGAGGCAACGTGGACAGAGGCTTCCTAGGTAACGATTTAGCTATTGCTCATTGTGGAGTTTAAAAGTGAGACAGTTGGGGCACTTACCTTCTCTGTGTGGGTGACAGTAACCACTGCTTGAAAATTCCCTCTTATCAGTGGTTCTCATCTCCTAAAGGGGCACTGGAGAATATATGCTAAAATTCACATAAAGCAAGCCTGTCTGCCTGCCTGCCATCCTTCCTCCCTCGTTCCTTTTCTTCCTCTCTCCCTCCCTCCTTTCCTCCCCCTCCCGTCTTCCCCTGAGTCTAGAGTTATAAAGTCTCTTGTTGCGGTAGCCCATATAGAATTGAGTTGTAGCACAGATAATTTGTAGCACAGGAAGGAAAAGCAGGTCTGGTTTTGGTCAGCGAGGGAGGCACCAGGTGTGTCTGAAGGCAACAGAAAGTGTCTTCTGAGAAGGAAGAGCCTGGGCAGCATCTTTCTGGTTGAGTCTTGCCAGCCCTGTATCCTGGAGACTGAGGCTGTGATGTTAGGTCAGTGTCTTTTTAGACTGATAGTCTGGCAAGACTGGAGTCAGCTAAGGTGTCTGTGTCCTCTGGAAGAGAATTCTCACATCTGACAGCAG